TATATATATATATATTGGAAAGTATATGTGTACGTTGGACAAATCCATGTGCACGCACAGTAGAAGCCCGCCACTTATTTATTTAGAGAGATATATTTGATGCTAACTTGGCGGAGGAGCTCATATAAGAAATAGTACTGTTGTAAGGATAGAATATAAGAGATTAAATTGACTCAAATATATTAATAAATGGACACATCTATCAATTGATAACGGTAAATTAAAATTCTTATCAGCATATTAATAATCCCTCTCATATCATTTCCAAAGATGAACTGCTTTTTCACTCTCAAATTTTAAGCGAACATTTGCATATCTACCGCCATTGTTTTTAAGTTAAATTTTTTTAACTATATCAAGTTTTATATTGCAATATGTGTAGTTAACATCTATATTTGAGCATCTAAATTGATCAATTGAATAACCTAACAAAATAACTTCATGAATACAAACATGAGAAAGTACAACGAAACAATATGGAGACAAAAACACAAGAATTTATGTGGCCCAACCATGCTTGCCTTACATCCATGTATGAAGTGTGTAGGCATAAATAAATCTACTATTGTGGGCTCCGAAAATTCACATTCGTTTCCCCAGTTAACTCTCTGCATTTTTTTTTTTTTGAGAGAGAACTTAGGAGGGTCGAATTTTTAAAATGCATATTGGATTGTAGATAAGACACTATCGATATATTTCACCCTCATTTAGCGATGTCTTTTTTATCTAAGTTTCGCGGTTTTCTGTAGGTGCAAGCTCCTACAGTCAATTACCCCTCCCGATAATGGGAGAGCACTTTCGATTAATGCTGATCATTTAGCATTGAGAATTCAACATATAATAGTAGCTGACTTAATATTTAAATTGTAGAATTCACCACTTAAAGCTTAAAGCAGATGGTGGAGGAATGAAGATCTCATGGTTTCGTCATTCTGTGTCGTTGTGGTCCCTAATCTACTTAGTTAGAGAAGGTAATCAACCAAAACTAATAGAATGATTCTTGTCAACAGTCAAGGGTTTCTTCGTCCAAGATATCCTTATAAATTAGGGTTGGATGTTTGTCTAAGAGGACAAATTTAAGTCGACCTTAGCTAACATAAGGTTTTATGCTAATCAATTGTACCCTTATGACTCACGACTCAAATGGTAGAAAGTTGTTGTGAAACATACATGCTACTGTCGTGATCGTAATATAATAGTGTCATTTGACAGCAACCACCCGGTCAGAGCGCTCTAGTTGTAACAATTATTTTATGGTGCTATTTGGAGGCAGAACCATGCCGACAGAGGGCATGGACCACACCCTTATTGGCATGCAATTAATTTGATTATAAATATAGGGATACATTTGATATGACATTAACTTTTTGTGAGCTAAAATCGATATGAAATTTGTCACCCTTGACAAACAGTTGCAAAGGTAGAAGTCTTTTAAGTGATTAAATTTTACTTACATATTAGTTGATTATTGTGATAATCTTGATTTTAAAGACTAACATCTCCGGCTGAAATATTATATGAACTCGACCATCTTCGAGTTATTGAACATTTAAAGCTTTTGTGTTTAAAGTGGGGGCATTTAGTTTTATTAGTTTAAGTTTTTCAAAGTATACGTCACATCGACTTCTATTCTTATAGGTTGGAGGATTTGACTATGTGATTTGGGTTTGTAAATTCTTATCTTTAGGATTTGAACATTTATCAAATTTACTAAACTTGTCATCTCCAGTCCTTGTGAGGAGGAGGATCGGACTAGTGGGGTGGGATTTACAACCCTTCTTTATAGACAAGACAACCCAATTAGCCCGCATAACATTCTCAAATCCATTAATTGAGTATTCAAAGCATTGGTTGGAGCACATGCGGACGTTTAACTTTCATTTGTTTGAGTTATTTCAGCTGGAGCATTTGGTGTATTAAAACAAGTTATATGATTTTAAAACATGAGTTAAATCAAATAGCTTGCACATAAGCTTTTATTTTAAGCAATCTACCGCCTTCTGTTCGCTAGCAGACACGTTGCAAATCCGATGACGAAGCAATTTATTTCAAATTTCATTAATAAAGCTCCATATTTAACTTAGGTCTTATAATTTTAATACTTCTCAAAGTTGTTTCCTTTCACTTTTTCTTAATCATAAAAAATATGTGCTGAATTTTTGTGCAATGTCAAGAAATTAGTTTCATTATACTACCTCCTTGAATTTCTATCATTATGGCATGCTTAAACTTCTGATTAGTTAAAAAGGGAAGAAAAAAAAGCAAAAAAAGACAAAAGTCTGTGGCGAAGAGAATGGAGCTAAAAAAACTCGAATATTTTTAATAAATGTGCTGTCATTAATGAGTCACTTTCTTAGGGCAGATGTCCAACTCGCCATGCTCGTAGAAGTGGGGAACACTTAACTAACACAACCTGCGATAATTGAATCATTGATAATGGGCACCAACTTTTCCTCGCATAGGCGCAGTTATAGACCCTCTGCAACCATACAGGTCTCTGCGAGCAGCTTTAAGCTTCTTTAATTACTGACTCATTTTCTAATACAGTACAAACTGTTAATTAGTGTGTTCAACCTTGCAAAATATTACATTATAGAGCATTTGGTTGATTGTTCATCTTTTTGTTAGATGAATCTTTATATCATACTAAATTTGGTTGTTTTCTTATATATTATACTTATTAAAGCATATTAAATCTTAATCAAAATTTAATCCACTCATTAAGAATAATAATAATGGTAAGCCAAAGTTAAAGTTACTAGCCTACTAAAAAAAAGAAAAGAAAAGTTTAATATTTCTTAGTTCGGCCTATATTAAAGTTTTGTTTCTTACAGTTGCACTTGTTTGAAGAAGTAGTTGTGAAACTGTTAAAAAAAAATTTTGTTCAAAAAGCTGTTATGATTATTACGATTTTTTTTTAAAAAAAGGTTAAACCGTAGCTTTCTAACAATCACAGCAGTAAGCCGGTATGGTGGGAAATCACATTTTTTAACTGCAGTTTTTTTAGAATAAGTACAAAATAAAGAACTGTGGTGAAGTGACGCACCGCCGACCCAAACACACCTTTAAGTCGGAGATTAAATAATATGAGTGGTTGCCAAAACCAGTGAGGTCCCAATCAACTCCTTAATCTATGGAATATAGGCCTTAGGCTCCAAAAATATTAGTCAAAAAAAACATATTTTGGTGACTCTCATGCGGATTGTAACAGGAAATTCATAAGATTACTATTAGGATTAGAAGGGAATTATGGCAGTCTATACATTATGATGGCCACATATCATTGTGGGAGGCGTTTCATATCGCGAAGGAATTCTTAAATAATTATATAGTTTCATGGTGTCGTGTGGGGGTCTCCAACCACAGAAACATGTCTCTTTCAGTTTTTATTTAAGTTTCAATTTCTGTATTTTAGTTTTTTTTAATACTGAGATACCGGACCAGATATATTATAAAAATTATTTCGTCTCAGAATTGTCGCAGCAAAAAAAATAATAATTGTAATGAGAAGAACAATTACATGCAGAGCTCCTAAAATATTGCTATTTACAAAACAATCTCTCAAGATTCATGATAAAATTCCAACCCCTATTATTCATTTTTATCAAATTCTCAATAATTTGATCATTGCACTGGTAAATGCATATGTTGGCTGGTTCAAAAAATCACTAGAGTGCTTAATTTATAAATATCAATGTTTGTGTGTGTGTGTGTGTGTGTGTGTGTGTGTGTGTGTGTGTGTATGTGTGTGTGTGTGTGTGTGTGTCTGTCTGTGTCTGTGTGTCTGTGTGTGCACGTACCGTGGCTTGTTGGTAGAGCAACATCTCTGAATGTCATAAGTCCTCTCAGGTCACGGGTTCAAATCTTCCGTGTGTAGGGTGTTGTACTCGAATATTTAGCACACCTAAGACTGACCAAAGCTCGTCTAATAGCCTTCAGCCATTTCCCTAATCAATGCCATTTAGTTACTTCATGTTCTCTCTTTTTTTCAATTTCTTTTAACCAATATATATATATAGGTTAAAAATAAAGTGAAAGAAATTAAAAAAAAAAAAGAGAGAACATGAAGTAACCAAATGGCATTAATTAGTCTCCACAGCTTTAGAGAATATATTTGATTCTTCAAAGTGCAGAATATGGCATCAAAAGAGAAGATTCAGCTTCATCTCTGTAATTAGTCAAATAACATAATTGAGCTGAGCAGCTAAAAATTTATTTAAAAAACTGTTTTATAAAAAGCAATTTCTTAAAGCCAAATAAATTCATGGTCTAAAACAAGTACAAAATTTATAATAAATATTTTCAAAAAAGCAGTACAGCCAAACAAATTTAAAAATGAAAAAACTGCTTTAATTGAAACTAATAGCAACATAAAAAATTTTCCAAACAAACCTCAAGTCTACTGATTGTAAGTCAAGTTATTTCTAATCATATAATTCAAAATCTAGCACATATAAACATACGTGAATTTAAAAAACAGCAGAAAATAACCTTGAGAAAAGAAAAATCACAATGAAAATATGACGTGTGGTGTTCGTGTTCGTGTCCGTATCCACCGTATCCGCACACAAGAAAAACCGATCATCATAAAAAATCTTAAGGAAGATTTGTATACATACCACTCAATTCCTATGTATTTAAAAATCTAAAACTTCAAATTTTACATGTACATCAAATTACCTATGCATGAAAAGTCATATTTCACCTTTTAAAAGCTATAACGAGGGTATGTAAAGCCCCAAATCTCAGTTAGACTCTATCAGCATATGTTAATCATAGAAGAAAAAATCTTGGCTTGCGCAGAGCAACAATGACACAGAATAAGATTCATTTAGAAGAGTCAACTCCAAGACATTCCTTCACACATAATACTTAGTTAAATTTTACACAAAATGCTTGTTTGTAATTTTTGCTATATTTGTATACACAGAAAACCTCGAGCAAAAAAGCCAAAAATAATACAGTACTCATGAACTTCGAGATGCATTTAGAAGAGGAAATTAAAATACTTTCCTCTGCTCTTAATTCAGATTTTCTTTCTTATTGTCTCTATAGATTTTGCTTCCAGTGTGGTCAAGATTTCTCAGCTCCTCGAAGGCGTGCATTGTCTCGGCATCAAATCCTCCAGCAAACTGCACCAAAGTTTTTTTGGTTTTTCAAATATTAGTGTGATATAAACAGTAGGACTGAAAGAATTACAGAAGCTCGTTAAGATTATTTATATCATGATCAGTAAGAGCTTCAATGCCTCTAGATGAGATGCAAGGTGTTGGAGTTTGTAAACAAATATTGAAGATGCATTGTTATTGTTTTGAAAAGATGCCTCCATGTCTCGTTGAAAGATAAGCAACATAAGGATCAAAGGGCTCATCTTTTCATCTATCGGATTAAGAGAAATGCACGAATTTTGGAAAAAAAAATAAGCAATGCTACATTGCGAATGAAGCTAGAATAGTTATGCATGACAAAAAAAATATAATAGTATAATAGTGAATTTAGCTCAAAGATTGTTAATCGTTTGAAAATTGATTCAAATTTTGGCTTGAATCGAGATCAGATCGAAATAAACGAGTCTCCTATGAGCTAAAACTTTGGATCAAATTTCTTTTTAGCCGATTTCGAGCCATAAACGAATCAGCTCGAAGTATTTTTTTATTTATAATGCTAAATAAAATCAAATATAACAAGCCACGAGCTGATTTCGAATTGGAACTCGTTGAATCCAAATATATCAGGGAGGCACATCTAAGGAATAGAGCGCGAAGAAGAAGCATTATAAAAATTGATCCAAATAACTAAATTTGAGAAAGCTCTTTTCGAATTCAAGTCGAATCAAGCTCGATTTCAATTTCGAGCTAAGTTGGCATTAAATTATAAGATAACGTGCCACAAGACAATTCCGAGCCACACTCAATTCATTTGAGTCGATTTCAAGCCAACCATAGCTTAGCTCATAATCGGATCGTTAACAACCCTAATGATAGTTCCAAATTTTGTGAGAATTGGATTCTTGATTTTGATTTTACCCTTTTCAAATGTCTCCTCATAGGGGCGATTTTCAACATATGACTATACCTATAGAAAAATGATTTCTCCTAAGAGGGCAACACCCAGCGGTTTGGTACAAGGGTAATTTAAGTAAATTGCATATTGTACTATAGGGTTCTATATATGTGTCACGGTTGTAACCCTATGAGAGACTGAGATCTGAATCTTGTATTTTGTACTCTTTTCTGAATATTGAAAAGGAAGTCGCCGCTCTGCTCCAGGATGTAGACAGTAGACATCTTTGTCAAACCTCGTAAATCTCTGTGTTCTTCTGGATTTGTGTCGTTACTTATTTTTCTTCGCCCTAATTTCTCAACAAGTGGAATCAGAGCAGCGGAGGAGCAAAATTGGAAGGGCGAACGCGGAAAACGAAATTTACTCGGAAAAGGAAAGTCCGCTGGAAAGGAAATTCAGCGCCAAGATATTCCGAAGATATTCCAGGACGCGGAAAAGGGGGAATCTGTTGTTGCACTCGGAAAAGAAAAGCTGGAGGCTGCCCGATTAGAAGGAAATCGACATTCGCCCTTTTGTGATATTCCAGGACGCAGGTTCCTGAATTGCAAAAGCTTTTCTGGAAGGCAAAGTTTTTCTGAGAAGGAAAACAGAGCTTTTCTGGAAGGCGAAGCTTGTCTGGAAGGAAAAAGGAAATAAGTTATGATTTTATTGCAGAGAAGAAAATTGAAAGAGTAATCAAGTTCCGATTTTATTTCTTTGCAGGAGGCGGAGAAGAAAATTGGAAAGAAATAAGTTCAGATTTTATTCCTTTGTTGCGGAGAAGAAATTTGGAATGGATATTTTCCAGATTTCTCTAAAGGCAATAAAGAAAATTTCCTCCTACTAACCAGGAAAATCTTGTTGCATGCGGAGATTTTACAGGACGCAGGAAAAACAAGGAAAGGGAATTTGCTGCTGCACTAAGGAAAGAAAAGATTTCTTTCTAAAAGGAAAGCGAAGGCGGAGTTTTTCAAGAATGAAAGCGGAAACGGAGCTTTTCTAGAAGGAAAAAAGAGCTTTTCTGGAAAGCAGAGACGGAATTTTTCATGGAAGTCTAAGGAAAAAGATTTCTGAGAAAGTTTAATTAAGAAAAATTTAATTAAGGAAAAGTTTTTTTTTCTGAGAAACTTAATTAAGAGAAATACTTAATTAAGGAAACTTAATTAAGGGAGTATTTCAATCCTTTTTCGGAAAGATTCTGTTGCTTTTCTGAAAAACTTAATTAGGAGAAATATTTAATTAAAGAAACTTAATTAAGAGAATATTTCAATCTTTTTTCGGAAAAATTCTGTTACTTTTCTGGAAAGTTTAATTAAGGGAAATACTAAATTAAGGGAAACTTAATTAAGGGAATCTTAATTAAGGAATTATTTAAAAAAATATTTATGGCCCAACCCACATTGGTGCATAAGAATCTCCACGATGTATTTTCTCCTAAGGGGTTGGATATTAATCAATGTGGAGATTTATTGGGCATATGTCTTTCTCCCAAGGGGTTGGATATTCGCCAAGGTGGAGATTTGTTTGACATATGTATTTCTCCTAAGAGGCTGAATATCGCCAAGGTGGAGATTTGTGAGTTATGACTCATAATACTAGAATTTAGAGTCTTTTGTCATGAAGAGATGTCTCTTGGAATTGAATATTAAAAATTAAATATTGAAAATTTGGAGTCTTTTCGTGAAGAGATGTCTCATAATACTAAGGTGGAGATTTGTCAGACATATGTATTTCTCCTAAGGGGTCGAATATTCGCCAAGATGGAGATTTGTTTGGCATATGAATTTCTCCTAAGGGGTTGAATATTCGTCAAGGTGGAGATTTGTTAGGTATGACTCATAATATCAGAATTTGGAGTCTTTTGTCATGAAGAGATGTCTCTCGGAAGCGGGTGGCCCAATCGAAAAAGATGTCTACATCCTCGTAAATCTCTGTGTTCTTCTGGATTTGTGTTGATTCTTGTTTTTCTTCGCCCTAATTTCTCAACAAGTTGTACTCGAACGAGGTTTTAGGGCAGAGAAGAAAAATTTCGGCAGCACGAGAATATATAAGATTTTGGCAGAGGAGATTTGGTTGTTAGGGCAAAGGAGTTCGATGAATTTTGGGGCTTCAAAAATTCGGCGAGGAACTTTGGCGATTCGCGACAGATTATTAGAGCAGGAAGCGAGGAGTCCGTGAAGGGCGCGAATCGAGCGGGAGGACCAGTTTGCGAAGGTGAAGCCAAAGGCGTTCGCGGGAGGTTGGCGGACGGAGGCATGAAGGATTGTTCGCGGGAGGCTGCCGCCAACCCATAAGTTTGTGAAGGGTTGTTCGCCGAAGGAGAATCAAGGAAGCTTCCATCTCCAGCAGAGGGAATATTCCCTCTAAAATGCGGGAGGAGCTTGCTGCACGCGGGAATTCGCGGGGAGGAGTTTCTCATGGGAGTTTCGCGCCGACGCAAGCATTCGCGCAGGAGGCGTTCGCAGGATTCGGTTTGGAAGCTGCCCGGAGGAGCAGTTCGCAAGGCGGCGTGAATCACTGAATCACGATGGAACCGAAAAAGGAAAGCGGAGTTTTTCTTGAAGGAAAGCGAAAATTGAGCTTTTCTGGAAGGAAAGTCACTGCAACTTTATATATGCTTAAAAATACAAGAATTTGATACTGCTGCTAGAAGATTTAAATATCCGGCAACGATGCCAAAAATTTGACAACGATTATAGATTTGATAAAAATGTGTATAAAATACTCAATAATTGCAAAGTCACACTTATCAACGCAAGTATACGTATCGCTCAAGTAATACATGACACTAATGGAGTCTTGAATATCGATCCCACATGGAGTAATATTAGAGGCTACAAACTAAGATTTAAAAAATCAATACTTAATCACAACAATATAGTTCAATTTGCATATTTGTCACTAATTGGCAATTGAAATAAAAATGTAATTTTAATAAACTCTTAATTAACTAATTCTACTAATAAAGTTTTTAATGTGAAGTTCAATATATAAGAAAGAATCTTTCACCTTGTCAAGAAATTTAAGTGAATGGATAAATTGAATCGGTTCAAATTGTAATGTGCCAAATAGGAGCATACCTATTATTTACCCTTTGGACCAGACATAAAGAATATTGACTAATCCTATGTTTGGTTACTGAATCTGCGGCTAGGTTGGGAGGATACCGGCTCTCACTTCGAAGCTTCAACGTTCCCCCCGCCTGACGGCTAACATCTACACTTTAGCACCCAAACGATAGGATCAAATTGAGGATTTTAGTCTGTCACTCTAAAATCTCCAATTCTACGCCCGATAATTTTTATTTCCCTATTTATTTGCACCCAACTTTCAAGGACTTTGACCTCCTTAAATCTTGGATGTGATGTTCACTTGTAAAACTCAACATATTTTAGCAAATCAATTGGTCAGATTGAAATTAAATTAAGAATGAAGTGAAAAGATCATCACAACTTTTTTAACATTCTCATAACACAACTAATTAAAATCACCATTTAAAAAATCTCAAGACAAGGAGAAAGACAGAGAAAACTACACAGAACTCATGGAGAAGATACAACAAAACTTAGAATTTATATATAAAAGTAAAGTTATACAAACTTCAATAAGTAAATATAACTTATCTCTAATTCCTCCCCAAACAAACTCCTCGAAGTTCTTCTTAATCTCTTCATTTCTTTACAGCACACAGAATTCTTCTTCGAAGCGGCAAGGAGGAAGAAATCTCTTACTTTCCTTCCACTCTTACAATTTCTCGAAGAATTCCTCACAATACTAACCACTCTCTACACTCTAATGGGCACCACAAACAACAAAGACTCAGCGGACACCCCCTTTTTCGGCCTCCAAATGTTTCTTTTAAAGTTATAGAAGAGTTTTCAAGAGTTGCCCAAGCGTCCCTTAAAAAATCGTCCACATTCAATGCATCTGTT